TTTAAAAGGGTAGTTTTGAGGCCCTCAACAAAACAGAGTCGACATAGTGGAAAGCAGCTGATTTGTGGATGTGCATGAGTATTAACCAAGTTCTAGATTTAGTCATGTTGGAACAGTTTAGTGAGAAAGAAAGGTGTGCTAATTAGCATGACCCACATTTCTGGACTACACACGGGACGTTAACTAAGATGTCTCACAAATAAGATCTGCTTTTGTTACATAATTTTATACTTTTGCATTAAGTGATGGAATTTCAAGCGCTTGGAATCCTGACCCAGCGCGAAGGACCTCAGGGAGAAGAAAGCGCCAGGCATATCTGGGCAGCAGCAGGTGTACACAGGTGGCCTGTGCGAGGCCCCCAGCGCTGGGGTAGGCGGTGGGTGAGACGACCTCCCCTCTCGGAGTGGCTGACCACATAAAAACGGGCAAATGAAGCCCGCTGACGTCCAACAACTGGGAAATGGTGCAACGCTGCACCCAGTCTGAACAAGTGAGAGGAAGTGATTCACAGTCAACATTATAAAATTCAACTGCGGACTCTCTCCTTTGACTCTCACTGTCCTCAGCATCCGGCCTTTGTCTCTGTCCCTAAGCTCGCTAACTGAACGGGCACGGCTCACTCCCTCGCCCACAGCCCGTCCAGGGGGGTCGGTGACACACAGGTTTCAAGCCGCCTCACTCTGGGGCGATCGCACAGGGCCTTCCGTCGGCCTGGACACAGCCAGGGAGCCACTCTGCTCAGACATGCGACCTGGAACTGTTGGGGCTGCTGACGTCCCCCTTCACCGGCGGCGGCGGACAGAAGCCGGGGGATACATGCTTCTTCCTCTTTTAGTCCCCCAGACAGAGGCTCTGAGGTGCACCAGGCTCGACAGAGGGTCCCAAAGACACCAGAACAAGTCGGTCACAATGGTGACCGATCCACAACACCCCCTGCATCAGCATTTCCCCTGGAGCCTCGTGGAAATGTCGGCATCACACGGGTGGTCAGAATCGGGTCCGCTGTGAGAAGGCGAGAGACAGGACACCCAGCCTCGGGACTCCAAACTCAGAAAGCCCCGTGAGGGGTGTCCCCCACCTGACCCTCCCACTCAGGGCGGGTTTCTTTCCTGTTCATTCGTAACAGAATGCACTATTGTTAGGCTCCCAGTTTCCTTGCTGCTTAGATGATTTAGCCTTTATCACCCTTCTAATACACTGCATTTCTGTAAGGCTCAGTCTCAGGCTGTCTAAACTTGATACATTTCATATAATCATCCCCACAGGGGACTTCATCCACACCCAGGATTTTATGTCCTCCTTTAAGACAATTACTTTTAAGATTTTCTCCGTTCCAGACGCTGCTTCTGAGACTCGCACTCACCTCTCTGGTCGCCTGCTTGTCAACTCCTGTCAGCTGAAACTCACCAATTCCCAAAAGCAACCCCCGGGCAGCTCAAGGCCCTTCCGCCCTCTTTTCAGCCCCCCTAGACCTGATGCGTGGTCCCTCTCCTCTCTCCAGCCACGCAGGGCCCCCCGAACGTCTACCTGCCACGCATCCTCCTGCCGTAAGGACTCTCACTTCCTCATGGAAGCCTTCCCGGATGTGCCGAGGAGGCCCACTCCTCCCTTTGTTTTATGCTCATGAAACCCTCTTCGCAGACACATTTTGCATGCTCACTGGATTATATTATAAGCTCCATGCAGGAACATAGCATATCTCTTTTGCACAAATTAGCACCTAATTTTTTTTTTAATAAAAGAATAAATGGAGATATCACTGTGGGCTAGAATAAGCTCACCATCTTCCTGGGGCATGGGCCCTGCATCCAAGCCTCGGAGAGGGACACCAGACAGAAATGAGGACAAGGTTCTTGGGGCACCCGCCGTTTGCTGGTGCTGTGAAGTACTTTGCACGCACTGTCACATTCAGCCGCCACAGCAGCACGGCTGGGTGTGGACTGATCCCTCATAGAGAGAGAAGCCAGGCTCAGAGGGGTCGGCTGACTGCTCGGGTCAGAGACGCCGGGTTGAATAACTTAACTTGAACTTGGGTTTTTTAGCTTCCAAGTCTGGGCAGGCAGCAGAGAGACACAGGAGATGGAAGGACGGTGACTTTCCTGATGCGATGTGGACTATTTAGATTTTTTTTGCATGGAACTATAACCCAATCTACTGAAATTTTTATTGCAAATGAAACATTTATTTTACTAAATGAGAGATGCCTAGAAATTGGACCATTGGTTTATACAAAAATACTTTTTTATGATGACTTTTTAATGAAAGGTTGCGTTAGTTCATGTAAATAAGATACCCTAGCTGCCTTTGAAACACACAAATAAGAATGCGATAAGCATGAATCCAAAGAAAAACGTTTAGCTTCCTTACAATTAGATAGGAATCACATATTGTAATACCCATTTGGGAAATGCTATGCAACCCTCATGAGAATAAAAAAAAACTTCTACACTAAAAAAACTTACTTTGGCTAGGGTTTTTTCTCAGATTTATTTAAATAGAAAACTTTTTTTTTTAATACCCAGGGACAATTATCCTGACACTAAAGACATGAGAGAGCTCTGGTTTAGTCCACTCCCTCTAGAACAGCGGTTCTCAACCTTCCTAACGCAGCGACCCCTTAATACAGTTCCTCATGTTGTGGTGACCCCCAACCATAAAATTATTTTCGTTGCTACTCTATAACTGTAATTTTGCTGCTGTTATGAATCGTAATGTAAATATCTTTTTGTTTTCCGATGGTCTCAGGCGACCCCTGTGAAAGGGTCGTTCGACCCCCAAAGGGGTCGCGACCCACAGGTTGAGAACCGCTGCTCTAGAATGACAGACCTGTGCGCTTCCCCCAAACCTGTCCCCCTTTTCTGAAAATACCTGCATTTTAGCTGATTCAGTTAGGAAGTTCATCCTAATATCTAACCCCAAGTTCTGCAGAACCCCAAGCTCCTCTCCCTCTTTCTCCTCCTGGGGAGCAGAACCCCATCTCGAACTGTGTCATCTGTATGACAGCTGCTCAGGCCTTGAAAACCATGAAGGGTTATTGCTTGATTCAAGTCAACGGTATCCATTTCTATAGCATTTTTACGTAGCACATGATTTCCATACTTTAATGGTTTGATAGTTTGCTAAATCCACTCCAAATGTCCCCCATTTTCCATCGGTTAGAAAACCTGGACACAGCTTTACTCCAGAGACCGACAGACGCTGCACAGTGAGAGGGGTTCCTATCCACAGCCAGGGCTCTACGTGCTGACAATGCGTATTTAGTAAGACATTCTTTCCCCGAACAGTTACCTGTCGGCATGGGACCCCAGGGACGCTTGCTGGAGAAACACCGGGAAACAGAAGGAAAGCTGGTGGACAACAGTTCCACGCAGAGGACCAGACGGGCACCAGTCACATCACCATGTCCCAGTGAGCGGATGTGACGCTCTCTTCTCTAAGACTTCGGAGAACAAATACACAACTCTGTTTCGAGGGCTTCTCGGAGGAGGAAGCTCACTACCAAACACAGTGTTTCACCCCACTGTTGGGATGCTCCCTGAAAAGATTCCCTAGGACGATGACTCGCCCATGCTTTTCTCACTTGGGCGTTGGCTGTCCCCCTGACCAGCCCAGAACAAACCCATCGCCCCGACCCTGTGGAAGTCCTTCACATATTTGCTGAGCTTTTCCTCTTACTCAGGCGTGGGGATTCATTTCTGGTAGTTTCCAAGGGTGAGGAAAGCAGCTGAAATTCTCTATGATCCCTGCACGTCAGGCTCACATGCTTGAAGCTCAGAGACGCCAGGGTAGGGCAGGGTCCCAAGGCTAAAAGTCTTTCACTAAATCAAGGTCACTAACTTCCCCGAGCGAAATAGACAGACATGGCCAGTTGTTCCCAAGAATCTCAATGGAGGATATGAGAGCTTTTATATAACAGACATTAAAAAAAAAAACCCAGAGCATGGAAAACTGAAGAAGACAGAATTTTGCAAAGACCTATATTGAGGGGAATGAAATTGAAATCTCCAATAAAGAATCCAGTGGTCAGATTTTCAAGGAAAGTTGAAAAATTCTAGAATTGGACTTGTACCTCCACGCAAACCCATCGCCCGGGTTCCCGAAAGTACGTGACTGAATGAGCTTGCTTGTCTTGTGCCGGGGGACAGTCTCCGAGCCACCAGGGGCTATTCCGACCTGCCTTCCAGTGCAGGGACTGGCTGTCCCAGGAGCTTCAGAAACGCCAGTGGGAACAGCCTCACGAGAACTCGCAGGGCAGCGAGTTCTGTATTTTACTTGCCGGAAAATAAAGTTCCACAAATGCACCTTTCTAGATCTCTTATAAGCTGAATGCCTGCTTCACTCATACAAATAAATTTCACCTTCTGGCTCATACAAAATTAAAGACGCAAAATTAATTTTAAAATATGAGCATGTTAAAAGAAAAACAAATAGAAACACAACTAAAGAGAAAGGAAAGAGAGAGAAAGGCCCAGTGTTTGGGCTGCCGCTAAAGACCAGGATGAGGCTTCATAGAAAATTCTGGTGAAATTTTATGGGAGACCCTTGTATGAAGCACCAAACACAGGGGTTTCATGTAATGACAGTGACAGTTCAACCCTCCCAGCTCTGGAATACTATGGTGGCGAGGAGACAATGAACATTTTAGTTTGGGGAGACCCTGTCCATTGCTTTTTGTTCTTAGAATAAAATTGATGATGGATTGGGACAATGGCAAGAAAAATAATTGCACAAGAGGGCTAAGATAAATCTTTAGAAAAAACCAACTCTTACCAGCTCCCCAAGAAAATCTTATACAACAGCCCTTAACAAGAGTGATCCTTTTTCTGCAAAGGGGTTTTTATACCTTTCCGCTCTCCTAGGTGGCAGTGTGGCATAAACAGAGATTATCCCAGGACCCACTATTTCAGGATTCAAAGATCACTAAGAATGAAGGTTCCAGGAAAAATACTTAATATCAGAATAGAGAAACACTTCTATAGACAGAAAAGAATGGTACTCACGGGTTCCACATTATATGAGAAGAGGGCATATTCTTTATCTGGAGATATTTCATATCTGATGGCTCTTAGTGATTCCTAAAACAACAAAAAAAAAGAAAAAAGGATTTTAAAGTATTACATATAACATAACTCAGAGTCTGGTGAAATTGTGCCTGCTGGTACCGTTTTCAAAATTTGCTAACAAAATTAGTATGCAGCAAACTTGCTCAAGTCTGTTACAAATGGCAATATCCTTTCGATGCTTTTTCGCATTGTATTTGTGGTTTTTCAAATTTCAACAAAAGACTTCTGTAGCTTTACTGATCTTTTTTCCCCCCTACCTGTTATATCAATGCCTCAGAGGGGCTCGTGGGAATCCCCAGTTATAATTGTGGATTTGCCCATTTCTGCTTTCGTTCAACTATCACTTCGAATCTTACAGCCCTATGGCTGGCTGCATCAGGGTTCTTATGTCTTCTTAATAAACGAATCCCTCTGTCATTATGAAGTATTTCTTTTTATTTCTGGTAATATTTCTTCGTTCTGTGGTCTACTTTGTGTTATAGTAACATAACCATTCAAGCTTTACACTGGTTAGTGTTTGGATGGTACATCTTTTACACCCACTTACTTTTAACAGATGCCTTTACGTTTAAAATAGATATCACAGATGGCTTATGATTGGGTCTTGCTTTTTAAAACTAATCCTAAAATCCTCCTCTAGGGGTAGTAAGGGGAGCTTGTGGACACAATGAGCGTGTGGCCATAAGGAAAATCCATCCTAATACTGCACTTACGTTCCACTCCAAAGTGTGTAAGATTTCTGTCCCTGTGTATGCTCAAGGAAGTTATAACATATTGCAAAGATTTTATGTACATACGTTTGTGTTTTTTTTTAATGTCAATGTTTAGAGTATGAGAAAAGGTTCAGAAGTCTTACATGAGGTTATATTAAGAGAGGTGAACAAATTTCACCATAGTTACGGGACCCTTTTGTAAAAAGATGGACATGTTTCTCAGGAGTAGTTAATTCATTTTACATAAGCTTCCACTAAAAGTCTGCTTACACATGGACTATATTTATCATTCTGGCACTTGTCATTCTATTACGTACACCCAACTTTTCACCTGGTATATAAACCTTCTTACGCTAAGGAAATTCATTTTAATTTCTCAGTGGGCAGGTGTGTGGCCAATGCTTCTCTAAGATTTTTTAAGTTCTTTATTTTTGAAAGATATTTTTGCTGCATATAGAATTCTAGGCTGACAGTTTTCTTTTTCTCCCATTCCACTGTCATCTGGCTTGCAGGGTGTCTGGTGAGAGTGTGCTATCATTTTTCTGTTTGTTTTTCTGTAGATAACATGTCTCTTTCCTTTGGCTGCCATTACAGGGTTCTATCTTTTGCTGTTTTTCAAAACTTAATGATATGCTTCGATGTGGCTTTCTCTCTGTTTCCATGCTTGGAGTTCATTGAGTTCCTGTACCAAATTTGGTAAAAATGCAGTCATTATTTTTTCAGAAGTTTGTTTTGTCTTCTTTACTCTCTTCTCTTTCTGGGGCTTTAATAGCAAGTATATTAGTCCACTTTATATTGTCCAGCAAGTCTGAGGCTCTGATCAAGTTTTTTTTTTTAAGTCTTTCTTCCTCTCTGTTCCTCACCTTGCTCTCACCACATAGGGTTCCTCTGTTGCAGAATATATGTATTTTATTCAAACGGTTACTTCATTTAGATCTAGACTAAAAACTACCCAAGAGTAAAAACTGTGTTTTATTAATCCTCGTGTCTACTCGCCCACCTTGTCTAGCCCAGGGCCTTGCTTGGAGAAGACACTCATTTAATGTCAAATGACAGGGTCCAGGTGTGAGAGAAAGAATTACATCAAACCTCTCTTAACCTACAAAGAACAGCAGGCTTGGGGCCAGGAAGATTAAGCTGCTACTTTACAGCTTTTCAGGTCTGTTCAAGACAGAGGTAAAAAATAGTCTACTCACCTACTTAAAAACTTAAAAACAGAATAACCTATGAAATAAAAATTAGAATAAAAATAAGTAAAAACAAAAAACCTTCTGTTTTTTTTTTAATTGACAGAAGTAGCTAAAGGAGAGGAGGAAGAGATAAAAGAAGGAAAATAAATAAAAAAGGCGAAAGAAAAGAGGCCATCTGAGACACAGGGGTGAAGAGGATGAACAGAAACAAGTGCGGATTATAGGGACAGAGGGTGTCACGGCTTTTTACAGTATTCTTGCAAAGACGTTGACTTTTTATGCCATCCTTGGGTTCCTGGACTGAGGGGTTTTGAAACTCAGAGGTCAGTCTGGTTGGATGTCAGTGCGTGTGGTCACTGTAGGGACCGACCAGCTGCCGCTTTGCTCCACCGGCCACGTTTTGCTGTCTCTGAGAAAATGAGGTCTTTCTGCTGCCAGATCTTCCCATCTTTTCAAGAGAAGCCAGAAATCTGGATTTGAGTTTGTGGAAACCCACTCTATGGGCCAAACAAAACAGTTCAGTGGGCATCGGGGGTGCCAGTGTTTGCTGCCTCGGCTACAGGCAGGAGCACGGCTATTTCTCCGTCACGTTTGACGTGGGTGCTCAGAGCACTTGGCCTCGGGTGGGAGTGCTTGCCGCCCAGGCCGCCCGCTCTGGTCCAAGATGCTGCTCTGGTTGTAGGTCTGGTGGCAGGGGGGTGTCTGCCCAGGGATGCAAATGGGACAGAGTCCACGGGCCGGAGGCTGGGCCGTTTCCCACCTGGTGGGCGGAGACGGAAGGACACCGGTGGGAGCATGGGTCCCGGGCCGTCACACGTGGGCTCTGGGGAGAACAGATGGGGCCTTCTTCCCCGTCCACACGTGAGAGCGCGAGCACATGGAGCGCTTGATGGAAATGAAATGAGGTAGAATGAGGTGAAATTAAGAGTGGAAAGTCCAGCACACTGGATGAAGTAAAATAAATGAAAAGGTGGTCGTAAGTGCCAATCTCAGCCCAGTGCTAGCCTGGCTCTGCATCATGGGGTGGGTGTAATAATGTAACTATGTCCCTCTCTCTGAGGAGGCAGAGTTCATTCATTTTTAGAGGCAGGTAAAAATTCAAATTCTGCAGTCTAATGATTATATACAATCAAAGGAGGACATAAACTAGAGAAACAAAACACTTTATTTGAATGTTCATTTAGTATTTTAAATACGTCGTTAAGTCGGTTAGTAATTAAAACAAGTACAGATATAAAAAGTGAGAAAAACTAACAGAAGCATAACAAAAGAATGTCAGAAACTGTCTTACATATTCATTGTTGGAGGAAGTCTAATCTCTTTGAAACATGAGGCTGAATTTTTAAACGTGATTACAATTATTGAGTAAATGGCATTGAAACAGCCATTACGGAAATCACCAAACTGGAAAATAACATACCACATTTTACCACCCACCAAGATGAACGACCATCGTAGTGCAGTGTTCTCTTTCTATCCTTTTCAATAGATGTAGATGATATTTACAGTTAATTAAAGTATAAGGATATTATATTCTGTTAATTGAATACAACATCATAGCTATTTTTCATATTACTATATAGCTTTCATAACTAGTATTTTAATGGATACATCGTATTTCATCTATTTTTATTTACTTATCTTATTTCTCTAGCTCCAGGGTTTTTTTTAAAAAAAAACTTGCTAGATTATTTACTTATGAAAAAGTCCCTAGAATGAGTTAAAATGCATAAATATTTTTATTAATCTTGAAGGTCTTGTTAGGTTGCCATCCAAACACTTTGGCCAATTTAAATGATACAGTGAATGACCGTATCCGTCTTACCACTCCCTGTCACCACCGGTATTATCAATACAAGGGGCATATAAAATATCAATGCCCCAGGTCAACACAGTGGATATCCCAAACGGGTCTGTTAGCTCAACAGCCCTACATGTGAATGCCAAGCCACAGTTTTGTTTGTAGGACCTCAGTGGTTTTCTCATCTGAGCAAAGAAGGGCTTGAATGATATCATCTTCAGAGACTATTCCAGCTTTCAATATCTAAATCTCAAGCAAAAGCTTAGTGTTTCGTCCTTCTGAGAATTTTGTTTTGGAAGAATTGAAGAGATGGTGCTAAGTTCCTGTAAGAGTTACAGTCCCTATGAAATCTAATTGAGGTTAGCAGAATGTATTGAGTCCATTTTAAATGCACTTCTACTGGAAAGAGAGATAGATGATAGATAGATAGATAGATAGATAGATAGATAGATAGATAGATGATAGATAGATAGGGATGGAGGGAGGGAGGAAAAGAGGGAAGAAAGAAGTCAGTATTCCCCTCAGTGGAGAAAAGATTCATGAGATTTTTCAGGAACCAGACAGCCATTGTCCAAATATCCAAAGACCCAATTTAAGCACGAGATATATTAATTGTTTCATTTTACAGGGGAAAAAAATGGGACACGTAACAGAACAAAAGACCTTTTATAATTTGTTAATTTGTGGACAAGAGAGTCTTACAGGAGCTTAAAAATAAAATACCTTGTTTGACATTTAAATTATTTTAAAAATGAGAGTAACATATAATGTCCTGGAATGTCTGGGGTGTCAAACAATATAATTCAAGTAGAAGTTAGGCTTTTTTCTTCTTTTCTCTTTACTTGTAGAAATCTGAGGGTGCCCCTTGCTGTAATGACAGCTTGGAAGGCCCCCCTGGCTCTGGAAACACCCCAGCTCCTGTAGGGAGGGGCCCGAATTCAGGCCGTGGGGACTCCGCCGTCCCCGCCGTCCACTGCACTGAGGTGGTCACCCCGTGTCATCCCACTAGGAGCTCCTGCTCACGGGCCTGAGCCAGGCTCTGGTCCCGCCCGCTCTGGAGCCCATGTGACTTGTGTCCATGCCAGCAGGCTGCACATCCTCTCCCGCAGAGCTTCCGACGCGTCTGACAGGTCGGCAGGTGGGGGTGCACAGGGCTCACACGACCACCCTGAGGTCCTGTCGCTACTGAGCAGGGTGCAGTTCACACCTGGCGAGGCAGGTCCCCACATCACACACCCTAGTGCTGAGCGCCCGTCCAAGGATTTTTAAAGCTTTCCCGCTGGACTGGCGGAGTGTCTGCACTCATTTGAATCCCTTCAATGATCCACTCCAGGAAAGAGCTGGTCTTGGAAGCCCAGGGGCCAGGAGGACGCTGAAGGCAATGGGCTTGGATCCGCTAACGTGACCTTGTGTGGGAAGCGGCTGTTCTTAGCGGCCAGGGAGCGAGAAGGAGACTAGATAGACGTCAAGGCCAGAGGGGAAATTCTAAAAGTCTGCTGACCACCACACTGACTGCTTCGCTGCCACGCCTCCCCTGGTTTCGGGCTGTTTCATCGACCCCCCTGAAAAGTACAGTGGGCCTCACGTGTACACACAGCTCTTTTCCCGAGGCTGCCTTTAAACAACCTCAAAGCTTCTGGGTTTCACATCAGAAAAGGCCACCTGGGGTGGGGGGGAGTCATCAGAAAGATAAGGGGACAGCACGCTGTGTTGAAGAGCCACTGCTGTCACCCGCCCGGGGACAGAGGGCCCTTCACGATGATGCTTCTCTCCCTGGACGCTGTCTCATGAAAAAGAGACAGGAGACAGAAATTCCATGGCTGGGCTCCGCAGAAGAGCCACGCTCGCAGCCGGCGGGAAGGGCTGCCGAGAAGTTCGCAGGGCAGCGTGGCTCGGTGGAGCTCCTACGTTTCAAGTGAGGGTGCAGGCCCCTGAAAGACACTTCCCCTTCGTCCTCCTTTACAAGTCTGTTCACAGGGGCGCGTTCCGTGCAGCTTTGAGGCCAGGATCAACGCGGCGTGGCCGTCGATAGTCCTGACCAGGCTGTACACACTTGGTGCTCCATAAATGTCTATAATGTGAGTGACTACACGACATTTTAAGAACCAGCCTGCTGGCTGGCAAGAGGAGGTCTTCCTCTCTGCTTGGCCTGACATGGATTCTGAAGTTGCCTTATGACTTGGCGAGAACAACTTCAGTACTGGAGAATATACGATCGGTCACAGCTATTGATCTGAGAGAGCGAAGGCAGCGCGTACTCTCGTATTTCACGGCTAAGTGCAGCGGCATATACACAGTGCCCTGCTTTTACTAAACTGACATCCTCCCGGGAAACACCGATAACATTGCGACATTAAAATGCACTTATGCTCAGCCACAGTCCAATCATTTTCTCCCCTCGATTAGTATTAGAAAACCATTTCTGCAACTTCAGTATTTTTTAAGTGGGTGGAACCAGATTTTCACAGGGGAGTAATTCTGCCAAAGGTGATTTTTTTTAAAAATGCAAACACGCAGGCATATTCATTGTGTCTGGGTCTTACTTTGCAGGATACTGTGCAAGGCTATGAAGCTCTTGTTCTGGGGACTCTGCCATAACGACATCTTCCAGGCCCACCTTCCCCCGCCCAGCAGTCTCTCTAGAGGCCAGGGTCCATTTGATACTAAACCCTCATCAAATTTTTATTTTTAAAGAAAAAGCTATCGCTACACCAAAAAGGAATGAAAGGTACTTAAATAGCGAGTGAAATGCTTTTGAGGAGGACAGGGAAGGCCGAGCAGCATTTGTCCGCGTCCGGGGATGGGATGGCACAAAGATGGAGCCATCCTTTCCGGGATGGAGGCCCGGGGACCTTCCCGACACTCACCCCGTCCCCGGGAAGCTGCGGGGACCCTGACAAGCTCATTCACCAGGTCTGGGCTCCTCAGCTGTAAGACCAGGGAGCCGCCCAGGTTTGGGCTCTGATCTCCTTTAACCCCCAGGTTGTGGAATTCTGCTTTCTAAGTTTCTGATCCGCCCCAGAGGCGTGTTGCGAGCTTTCTCATTTGGAGTCTGCTTCTGTTTCTTTTTTTCCACTTCCCCCATGTGGACAGCACATGGCCACCTGCCCGGCCTTGACAGGTGTCCCTACAAATAGCAGACATAAACATACTACAGATATATAAAGTTACCTCTCTTTCAATTGATTTTGGCCACAGAACTTCAGTCGATGCTTTTAGTAAACGTCTTTCACTGTACACAAACCTCAAATCTTAATGCCATTTGAATCTTTTGGGGAAGAAATGGGTTTTCCCAGATGACAGAGCAGTGACACTGCTATGGACCCAGTGCCCCGCTTTCAAGCAAAAGCATCTCTTACCGTCATCAGAGTAAGCCCCTTCAGTGCCTAGATTAATATTCCCTGTGCCTGGAGAGGAGTTGGTTTTTAAAAAAAGAGACGGAGCACGTCCTCTGTCACCGTTTCCGATGCATTACTGTCATTGTCCTGAAACTGTGGAAAGCCTCAGAACTTGCTCTTTCTTTTTTACTTATGATCTGCAACACTTGCTTCCGGCACCTGCACAGAAATTTCCCGAACGCTGAGAGACGCTGGGCTTTCATCATATTAAGTTAGTGTGGCTTCAGTTTCACATTATCTGTCATTGCTCAGCCTGCCGTGTTACAAGTTCATTGCCTCTGGTTGGCTCTACCAAGAGTTGAAACCCAGTCATTTTCTGCGTTATTGACTCACAGGAGCGAACACTTAAATTATCCCGGTCATTAAAGAGAGTACTTACAATTTTTTTGCCTTCTATTAACACTGTGGAACTATTTGTTTCAACATTCCGCAGTATCACACTTCCTTTCTGCTCTCTGTAGATGAATTCTTTATCTACAAGAGAGGAAATAAAAAGAGAATCATGAAACGTAAAGGAACTCACAAGTCTTTGAAGGACGTTTATGCAAAATGAAGAGACTGCTTCTGAAAAAAACACACGCCTTTCAACAAAGGGTCTTTAAATGTGGTGAAATCGATTCCGCTCCTTTGACCTCTTGGGAAGCTTCTCTCTGAATCTCATCTCCTGTTCTACACACGCCGACATATAAAGCACAAGGACACACATTCACAAAATCTTTAGACTATTCTAGACTTTCTTGAGTAGCACACAAAGAGTGGATCCAGGGAGCAGATTAAAAACCTGCTACCATAAGGGGAGGAAGATGAAGGGGCCAATGTCTCATAGCTGAAATTTCGGTGCAAAACCTATCTATGTATACATGCATATACCTACATCCATATCTTGCAAAATTGTTTTAATTTTGTTCACAGAACTTCCTTTGCCATTCCTGGAGGAATTGGCAGTTTTGCCATCACGAACATTTTTGACTCTACACATATTTTCAGTAACACTGGTCCTTTGTATAATCAATTGAGATTTTGGCTATCCCTTTAGGAAACTAATAAACCACTTACAGCGACCAGTATGCCTGCAGAGGCATATTTGGAGGCATGTAGGTGTGTGTGCACATATGTGCATGTGAGCACACACGTACATGCATGTGTGCATGTGCATGCATGTGTGTGCGTGTGCATATGTGTATGTGTACACATGTTGCAATAGAAAGAGTAACATTTCTGAAGATAGTATTGTTCGAGGAGAGGCAGGGCACTGTCTTTCTGGGTGACGGTGGTAACATTGAGCCAGTTTGATGAGAAAGGAATTTCACACTGTGATGAAAACACTGTGCAGACTTAATTCAAATGCTATTATCATTTCTAGTCTTTCTTTTTTATTCCTTTCGTCTAGGTGCCTTGGCTTTAATTTTCTCTTCTAGTTTGTTAAGGTGGAAGCTTAGATCTTTGGTTTCACTTTCCATCTTTCGTAACAAAACTATTAAAGCTAAAAATATCCCTCTGTGGGTGGTGTTAGTGACATCTCACAAATTTTGATAAGCTGAATTACATTATTAGTCAGCTCAAATTATTTCTAATTCTCCCTGTAATGTCGGCTTGGCCAGATGAATATTTACAAGTGTGTTGTTTAATTTCCAAATACGCAAAGTTATTCTGGCCCTTTTATTTTCATTTTTTTTTTTAGCTAAGCCATCCTGCCTCCTGTTGGCAGCTCAGCTCGGGCCGGGAATCGAACCGCTATTGCTCAGAGCTCAAACTCCTGAGTGAGCTCTTAACCAACTGAGCCACTCAGCTGGCCCTTGATATATATTTTTTTATTAGTTTCAGGTGTATGACACAATGTAATAGACATTTACACCCCTCACAAAATGATAACCCCCGCTTCCACTCCTCCAATCTACTATCCCTCTGACATCGTATGTAGCTGTTACAATTCCATTGACTCTATTCCCTATGCTGTACTTCACATACTGTGCCTGTATATATATATAATATTACAGTTGACATTCAATATTATTCAGCTTCAGTGTTTGGTGTACAGCTTTTTAATTTAAATTCACTGGATCAAAGAATACCCTTTACATGATTTCAGTCTTTTATAACTTATTAAGACATTATTTGTGGCCCAGGATAAGGTCTAATGCACCATATGCATGTTTAATGAAATTATTGATAAGGCTGGGTTGGGTCCACCTTTTTTTGGGGGGGTTGTTGTTTTCTAATTGTTCCCTCTGCTTCTTGTTTACGGCTTTCTTGTTTTCTGGCTTTCATTTTGTTGTTGAATATTTTTAGAGTTTTAATTTCCCTATTTGTAGCTGTATTTCTGTGCATTTTTTTTTAGTGGATATCCTAGGGATTATAATATATACGCTTACCTTTTCACAGTCTACAAAGAGTACATAATATACCACTTGTCATTAAATACAGAAATCTGTCAATTTTCAGGTCCACATCCAGTCACATGAGATTATAATCATGTGTATTACGTCAACATACTTCATATATTCCATAAGACAATGTTTTAATTATTTACGACAGTATCGGGCTTATAAAGAGATGAAGAAGAAAAAAATCAAAACAGGAAAAAAACGTCTCTTGCATTTACCCACTAGTTCCCATTTCTGATGCTTTTCATTCTTTACCAAAGATCTGAGTGTCCATTGGCTATCATTTCCCGCTTCGTGAAGAACTTGCGTTAGGATTTCTGGTTGTATGGATCTATTGCCAACCGATTCTGTCACCTTGATTTTATCTGACAATGTCTTCAATCAACCTTCATTCTTGAAGGGCACTTTCTCTTAACAGAGATGTCCAGGTGGATAGTTTTAGTTTTTCCTTTCAGCATTTTGAAATTTCGTTCTACTCTTTTCTGGTATCCATGGTTTCTAACGAGAAGTCAGCTATTAATTGAATTGCTATTTCCTTGCCTGTTATTTCCATGCATTTTTCTTTTGCTGTTTCCAAGATTTACTCGTTGTTTTGGGTTTCCAACAGTTTGGCTGCGGTGCCTTTCAACTGGGCTCCCCTGTGCTTATTGTATTTGATGCTTCCTGGCATCTTGTAGCTGCACATTTATGTCTCCGTCAAATGTTTAGCTATTAATTTGCCAAATGTTTTTTTTTTTTCTACTCCTTTATCCATCTCCCCTGCTGGTATTCCAAGTGCATGTTTTTAAAATTAAGCATGTTGGTTGTATTGTTAATTTTTTTTTTTACTTCCCATCAAGTAAGCACATGATGTTGAAATTTTGAAATCAAAGGCAAATCAAGAACATTACGTTAAAATCTATCATGATTGATTAATTCTCTCTTGTAGATCTCCTGTATTTTGTTTTACTATTTTATTAGATAAATGCAAGTTCAGAATTTTTGTATCTTCCTGGTGATTTGCAATTTTGATTATTTAACTACATTTTGCAGTTTAAAAAATGATTTCTTGTTTGTAGACTCGGTAAGCTATACCTTATATTTCTCACATGATGATTCCACAGGATAATAATATATGTGATACATGAATTATGCTCAGTTACAGCGATGCCTGGCTCAGAGTCAGCTCTTGGGACCTGTTGGCTGCTCCTGTCATCACAGCGGGAGGCGTGGAGTCACCGCTGTCTCCTTTTTGTCTCTCATCTTCAGTCCCCCACCCCTCCCCTCCTGAAGCCTTCAGGAGCCATCTCCTACTCATCACTCCAGTGTCCTGCCCTGAACTCCCCTCTGGATCACCAATGGGACCCTCTCCCTTAGTGCCATTCTCTGTGCAGACAAGGCCACACTTCTTCTTTTAAAACATTTTTGGGTTTTCTTTTTCTGGCTCCTTTGCAGAGACGACTTTGGCCAAACTCCTTTATCTGACACTCAAGGTCCTTTGCATTCTGGCCTGGGTCTGTCTTCCCATTTTAATTTCCTGTCTCCCCTACCCCCCCCCCAGCATCCAGGACACTGATTGCACCATCTTTCACACCTCTCTGCTCGCCGCAGCGCCCTCCCCTGCTCCGCCAGGTAACAGCTGTCTGGGCTCAGCATAAAGGTCTCTTCTTGTGGAGTTCCCACGCCTCTGCCAGGCAGGATGAAGCCCTCTCTGCTGGCGCCCCACACTCCACGCATCCGTTTCACGCTCCTCGCAGCCCGTTGGCTATTTGTCTGTGAACACTCTGTGTGTGCCTGTCAAGGCTGATTTTCTCTCTAACACCTCCCATAATGACTGATACGGAGTTAGGCGCTAAAAATAATGTAGGATGCATTTAATGAATTAACACGATCACAAATCCGAATCATCAATCCAAGGTCCACGGGGACCACAAAGCAGAGCCAGGGTGTAAAGAGGGCTCCCCTGGGCCGAGGGGACTCATCAAAGGTGAAGGAAGAGGACGCAGGGCTGGAGTGGTGGTTCCTCAAACTACACCTTCAGGGTTTCTTCACAAAAGTCTCTTACAGCTACTTTTCCCCATCACTGAAATGCAATGAGGTGGGAAAAGGGGCGTGCCAAGGTCATCTGAAGGTTATGAGGATGGGGGGATAATGGAACAGTCATGCTCAATGGGGTTCTAAGAAACCTGGAGTCTGAGGGTCTGAAGAAAAGATTTCTTAAAGAAAACGTGCACGGCACCACCCATTCCTAGTTAGTTTTCATGTGCCATGTATCCAGTCCTCTGCATTTAAAACACATCATTCAAATTGTAATAGTAAGCATGATATCGGGGGTGGGAGGGCAGTGGATGGGAGGAGGGGGGTTGTCACTCTGTGAGGGGTGAAAAGGATAACTATTGCATTGTTTTGCACACCTGAAACTAATAATAATAATAATAATAAAAAAATATATCATTCTTTTAATTGTTCTGTGTACCTTAGTAATCCTTCAAAGCTGAAAATACTTAAAAAATAGAAATAAGCTGCATTGGTAGCAAGGACAAGAAAAATGTTTACTTTTCATTTTATTTTGTTTCTCTCAACTGTGATATAAAAAATATATAGGAAGGCAGCAAGTTATTCTTTCTAGTCTTCCAAAAATAAGTTCAAATTGCAGTCATTTACCCTGAGTAGCATCTGTCAGCTGACTCTGTGTGGGCCTTAGTTTCGCTTGACAATAATGTATTTTTTAGAAAAGCTTTCAAAGGTTTCGCCATGATGAAAAATTTAAAGGGCCGGCCGAGTGGCGTGTTGGTTAAGAGCTGGCTTGGGTGCCAGAGGGCCCCGGTTTGGATCCCACATATGAGGGCCAGTGACACTGCCCTCCACAGCTAAGATGCTGAACAACAGCTCAACCTGGAGCTG